CAACCAAAAGAATAAATTGTTTCAAATGAAAACAAGTTGTTTTTAGATCTCATATCATAGATTGAAGTGAGTTACTCTATCTCATATATAGCTCCATAGTTAATACTGTAGTATTAATTGACAAAGGTAAACGAGAACTATTTTAAAATATTTGTAACATTGTTTTGAAAGTGAAGTTAAAACAAAAATTCTCTAAAAAGCTTAAAAAGCAATTAAGGGGTTTTCTACTTCCAAGAAACAAGATTTAATGCTAGATAAATAGTAAAGTAACTTGAAGGAAAAATTATTGTCTAAAATTGATCTTGTTGTTCCTACTTTTTAATTCTAGGATTAAATTTAACTTTTATTATGACAATGTTTTGCTAAGCTGAGCTGATGATCTGCTATCAAAGTTTAAAAGCCATTTGTGTAGACTTCAGAAAGAACCTTTGTTTTAAAACAAATTTTAAAACTCAAAGTAAAAACACATACATAAGTTGTGTTCATATAATCATAGAATGTAAATTGTAGCCTATATAATGCAATGTGAAATTCCCAGTGAATTGTATTATCAATGAGTAAATATTAAATTTCATTTTTTTCACACTATCAGTTTGGAGGATATTCTGATGTTTTCCACCTTTTGAAAAAAATTTTAATATGGATATTCATATTTGAACCATTGCAAACATTTCTTATGTACCACTTTTAGCTACCTATATTGTGTACATAAATTTGTTTACACCAGGTTTTATATCTAACAAAAAAATATAATTAATTATTTAAAAATTTCAACACATTCTGAAAGGAAAAGAGACACTCCACAATGATATACCTAACACAAATCAGTTCTGGTTGAGCTGGTTTCATGTTGACAATCAATAGAATCATCAACATCCAGATATTGCAGATTCTGTTGAAAAAAGTGGCTAAATTGTGAACAAAAATTTAAATATTCAATTTATTACACAGGATTTTATGAGTACTGTCTTAGGATATTAAATTTTAAAATTTAGCAAAGCAACCAAAAAGCACCCTACATTATTTATGATAGTACTTTTAAAATACTTTGTTTGAAGTTCATTGTTGGTGATTGTGAGTTAATGTTGTTCAAAGGTTTATTGCGGACATTTTCCATCACGATGGTAAAAAAACAATACACTGTGTATTGTTTTTTTTACACGGTATATTGTCTTTTACCATCGTGATGGAAAATGTCCGCAATAAACCTTTGAACAACACTTTTCAAATACATCTGAAAAATGTAAGTTACATTACAAATACAAGTATAACTGTTCCCAAAATCCAGTTTGCTATTTTAAAACTTTAACAACACCAACACCTTCGTACAAAATGTTAAAAATAATTTAATTAGAAAATAGTTAAACACAATGGGAAATAGAGTCCCTTAATAAACTTTAAAATAACACATGTTTCAAATTACAGCTGATTTTCATTAATCAAAATTAATTGTTGTACTGTAGCAGTGTTTGATGCCTAGAAGCATTGGTTCCTTCTCTTTACATGAGTTTAAAAATCTCAATTCCATCTTTATTTAAAACCAGTTTTTCTGACATGCTTCGCAACAGGAAGATGTACTATACCACCTAATCCAAACACTTGTTAAGTAATTCGAATTTATAAACGAAAAGCCACCAAATTTATACAAAAAAATAATGACCTACATTGAACTGTCTTACTCTTAATTTTAAAATGTAGCCTATCAATAACATAATCATCAAAACTTACGGTTATAGAATCTCTCTTTAATTCCATAATCAATGACATAGTTTTAGTAATAATTGTGTAAAATATTTTATTTAATTAGTTTGGACCAGCTCTTTGAAATTGTCAAATAAGCATTCAACAGTTCTGATTGTTTACATTGAAATGTCAACAGAAAGGTAAACAAAGTTTGTGAATTTTCTCATGATCCCGGAGACCAATTAACATTTACTTTTGAAAACCTCACCTCAAAACTTTGGACATCCAAGAGGCGTAGCCCGACTTAGGGAAGTGAATAGGCCTCTATAACATTCCTAGATATGTGTGTTTAATTTTGGCTGTATCGATTTAGTATTTTAGTCATGGCAGCCCCACAGAGAAACAGACACCAATTCAGTTTTATAGATAGATAGTTTTTAAATTTTAAATCAGCACAGTAATTCGTTTTCTGTAACTGATTCCAACTTAAGTATGAAGATTTCCCCTGCATTATATTAAACGGTTTACCATGCATACATATGGTTTAGCTCGTATATGGGGAAGAGCCCAAATTCAGAACACGTGGGTTGAATAAGCTTAACTCTCACCGAGCTATAACACTTTCCAGCATGTGATCCTTCACCTAATTTAATAAACATATACAAATGACCAACTTATTCTTTAAATCAGGACTTACAATGTGAGTAAATATACTATAGTAAAAGTGTTTGGATGTAAAACTGAAGTAAGAAGAATTTGAAGAAACTTTAGTTGAGACATCCTGAAGAATCAGCCTTGAAAGGTACGAACCTCATACTCAACGGTATTGTTTTGGTGTGAACGCACGTCTGTATAAAATATAACTACCTTACGATGTTTGCATGATGATAACTATGTGTTCAAACTTTAGGAAGGGTATAGTAAAATATATGTTACTGAATGCATGTATTAACCCTGAACTGTAATCTCCTTATGCATTACAAAGATTTAGTTAGATCCTTTATAGATCATTTCCTCAAGGGAATTTTATATTATTATGATGTAACATTATAACAAATCTTCACTCATTTTGAACATTTTCCAATTTACAATTTAAAAGCATGTCTTTTATTTAGAGGATTAGCAATTTCTTTAAAAGATCTTACAGACCGTATTAGGTAGGAAATGCAAAATTTAGAATGATCATTGCATTTCTAGTGATATAGACAGTACAACAGTTCAGTATTAAAATTAAAATAGTAAAAAAGCTAAACCTGGAAACTTTTTCTATAAGATACCTTATTGAGTGTAATGTAATTTATAATTTCTGTTATTTTGTAAAAAAAAAGAGTATGTATCGAACCTTTTAGAAAAATCTTATCTCCTACACTGTTTTCTCACTATGATTTAATTAAAGTAATTCTATCTTCTTCTTCACTGTAAAAGGTAGATGCATACACAATTCAGATTGAATAAACCGCAAACCTGATATAAAAAAATTTATTATCAAGATATACTTACGGTATCTATTATAAAAGAGTCCATTATAAAGTTTTCAGAACATATGCAGTTTTTTTTATAATCTGCAATATTAAATGATTAATATTTTAAAATATAATTTTAACTTCCGTTATAAGCATTCTTTTATTATGAAACTTTTAGAACTCTAAAGTTCATCTCAACAATATAACGCTATTCTAAAGTTGGCTATTTTTGGATTTTGTTTAATGTAGTCTACCCACTAAAATAGTATCATAGAACTTTCTTCTATTATATTACAAAAAAACATACATACATGCATATTAAATTGTAGGTCTTACCTTGATGTTAATTCAAAGTATAACATCACACAGTGAATAATAGTACCTACCTAGTAATTTTATCTACTTAGTTTATAGTAACCGTAACTATTAAGATAAGAGCAAATATTTAACATAGTGTATATATTGTATAATGGTTTACACCTAGCTTAGTTTACAGAAAGTAGCTATTTAACTCTGCATTTTCACAATGTCGCTCTATTTTAAATTTAAGAATTTCTTCTACCTTTACTTAGACTCATATAATTAGAAAAACATAGTCTGTTAGTAGGTTAGCAAGATTTAGTTTTAGATTTTAGACTAGTAGGTTTTTGACTGTATAAATTTTGCTGTGTGGAAAACATGTATACATAAAGTGTATGGCCATTTCTTTTTTTATAATAAATTTTTAGGAGAAGCATAACTAGTAGTTAAAAATGTAGTTTTACAATTGCAATACTTTTTTTAAGGATTTATAATTACTAATCTGTTGACCATAAAGGACAGTGGATGCAATAAATTAATCATTTTTAGTCAAATAATTGTGCAGGATCAATAGTAACTTCAATTTAAGCTCTTAGTTGAGATTCACACAAATTCACATAAACGATTGTTGATCAAAGTTTGACTCATGCCCAGGAGGGAGACCCAGGAGGTTTCCTTTAACACTTTTACACCCAATAGTGCAACAAAATCCCACGGGACACCATGCCAAATTACCCTCGGGATTTCTGTTTAGAGAAAGAAGGAAACAAAGAGACCCAAAAAGTGGTGGAGTTGCATAAAAAAATAATAGGATCAGTGAAAATTAAACTAAACTGTCTTTCACTGTTATTGATTTCTGATTTGCACACAATCTATTCTCAGATCGTATGTGATCTCTAAGCAAAATTAAAACATTTGAAAACCAAAAGGACATGGCAAAGTATATTTTATAACCATAGAGGATTGATTGGTGTTGTGTTGTTTAGTTATTATTTTAAAGCATTTGTAGCTAGGAGGCAGTCATGTTATAGCCGCCGGATCTGGGTGTTACAACATAGAAAATCGATATTATCAAGTGATCAATTTCTTTATATATATATTTTTTTTTTTTTTTGCATATTGCAACTAAAATAAACTTAAGTTCTTTTTTTAAGGTAAATCTAGGAACTGCCTCTTCTATTGTACAGTGTTTTTAACTTTTCATTTTTGAAATATATACCTATTAGAGGCATATTCTTCACAAAATGCCATTCTTCAATATTGCTTGACAAAAACTCAAGTCCAGATGTTAATCATTTGCTCTTAATCATCAGACTGTGTTAGCTCTCAGTTCTCTATAAAAGAATTGGTTTTTCTTCTTTAAGATGTTATTACTACTTAGAGAATTCGTTTAGCTATATTCAAATAATTACCGGTGTTCAAAATTTGCTTCTGACCAATGGAAAAATAAATCCTTTATTTTCTTGTTAGATCTTTTTTTACAATCTGAGATACACTTTGAAAATGTATTGCCTCATAAATTATTCTAAAATATTTCTTTTTATCGGTCTGTAGGTCTCAGAAGGCCAGAAACGCACAGGATTGGATCAGCTGATAGAGCATCGCTGCCGGCAAATGGGCAAGTCTGGCAGCAACAAAGGTAGCGCTCTACACCTGGCGCAGTGGATGAAGGGACAGCTCGGTAGTGGCAGCACAGCAGGCCCCGCCACGCCCGACACCGAGCCTGAACCTGAGGTAGGACAAGAAACACGCCAAAATCCTTCACTTTTTTAGCTTCGGTAAAATATTTTTGTGAAATACGAGGTCTATTCATATAGAACAGAACACATTTAACATTTCTGTACGACATCATATTTTAGGGTACTGGGGACCTTAAAATAAAAAAAATTAAGAGGTTCCACGGCTAGGTCGTACCATCAATAGTTTATTATATAGAGTAATAGCCCTTATGGGAAATTTGCTAAACGTAATAAACTTGTAAAACTATTCATAATTTATAGGTATGGTCTCCTGCTACTCTCCGCCGTCGTAAAGACCAACTTGACGGACGAGGAGGGCTGAACCGCTTTGGACCGAGAAATGAAAGTCGTTGTGAGGATTTGGATGTGTCCGATTATGAGAGAAGCACCTCCAGATGTACGGAACACAGCACCGATCCTGAAGACAGCCAGGTAACAAAAAATTGATACAACAAAAAGATTGAAACCTCCATAAAAATTACTATAATGCTGCTAACGTTGTAATTTAGATAGTATTCAATTATTTTTTATTCCAGACCTCAATTTCTTTTACAGTATTGACTATCTGAAGTTTCCTTTTGTTCATCTCCGGAGTATTACTATACCTAATCCTTCCCAAATCTTCATAACACAAAATATCATTCACTGAATAAAGTTAAGATGTTATGCTCTATGGGAGATTCTTATGGTCATTTTCCATCATGATAAGTAAAACACCAACAAGTGTTTTAATGAAGTTTTGGAATCTTTAATCTAGTTCTGTACTCTGGAGAGAAAGAACAGTGAAGTGTAATCAAAACAAAAGAAACAAAAATCCTGAACAAAAAATACCTTCCTCGCCCTCTATTTGTACAACAAGGTGGGCGGAAAGTCCCTACCCACTGGTGAAGTAAATAAATATATCAAGTCTTAAAACAGTTGGCCTAGTATAAAATACATTAATATTTCATTATGCTTAAGTGGCCCAGGATCACTTATTGAATTAAATGGTTTGTATTACCTGTCCTTCAGTGATCCTATTGTCGTCTTATGTGACCGGTTTCGGGATTAAAATCCCATCATCAGGCGGTTAAAAATGTCATTTCACTCAAAATGAGGTCGTCTGTAAACACAAAGACAAGAACATAAAACATAAAACACGAAAACACTGATAGACATTGTACAGATATTAGTAACTGATGGAGAGTACAGGACACTACCACGCGGCACGGGTAGATGTGGTAGATGCCTGAAGTCGGTCGCCTAAGACGACAATAGGGTCACTGACCGAGAGGTAATATAAACCATTTAGTTATATTTCAATTATTTTTCCATTTTTTAGTGATCCAAAACATCTGTGTGTATCCCACCATTATCAACGCACAGTTTGATTTGGTGCCATGTCCGTTGATTCATTCTTTTTCACAAATCTTTTTGTCTCGTTTTGTCATATGATCTCTCATTGTCAACCGTGGAAAGTTAACTCTGCTGAGCATTTACGCGTAGATTTCATTGGCGATCAGTGAAATGACATTTCCACAGCAGCACAAGTCTCGAAACGAGTGCTTCTATATAATATTAATATTTTATTGCAGGATTTTAGTTTTTGTTTTTAATACTATTCAATTCTCTTTGTAGTTTTTCTTTTTCATGTGTGATTTTCCAGTTTGTGCTGGATTTTTATATCAATCTTCAATCTTGTAGTGGTTTAGGGCCATTCCCAACCAGGAATCAGATTTTAGAACAATTTATACTTCGAACACATTGTTTTACTTATCCCAAGGAAAATGTCTGAAAAAAATCCTTCAAATAAAAAATCTTTGTAACACAGCTGTTCATTTCCAGAACACGGTGAAGTCCACATCGGCCAACTCAGAGCATCCCCTCACAGTCTGCCGCCAGTGCCATAAAACGTGCCTTGTCAGTAACAATAACCAGGACTCGACCAATCGTAAAGATGTTAATGCTAATCGATCCTGCGTCAACTTCACTTCCCTGGACGATGCAGGATGGACTCCGCTGACCAACTCCCCGACTCTGAGTCCGACAGACCCCTTCAATCCGGTGCCACACATCTCGGTGCTTCCTCCCAGTCCTCCCACATCGCAGCCTATTTCTCCTGCCAACAACAACTTTTGGGAGGACGCTGGCCTTAGCTCAGCCGTAGACAATGGTATAACACCAAAGGTAAGTCTTTTAGTCAGACTTAACTTAATGTGCTAATGCTCCAAATCCATCATTTATGCTCTTTAGGCATGATAAAGGCATAAAAAAGTAAGGGTGAGCTAAAAGTTGCAAAATGCCTGAATTGATGTGCAGCTCACCAATAAAGCACTGATATCATCGTTCACCCGAGTCGTCCTGTTCCACGCTTACAGTTCAAATATTGATCAGGACTTATCTGTATACTGTAATTAATTACGGCTCCGGCCAACGTAAAAGTTCAAGTTTAGTGGTTCCTAACTTTACCTCCAGATTGCAGTACATGTCAGGTTGTAGCTTTTTATCTGATTTTGTTGTGTTATACTCTGATAGATAGTTGTTAGTTTGGTTATGTTAATTCAAACGCCCGATAAATCGGATGTTGGAGTTTAAAGGGCTAGAATACAGATCTGATCCTGTCAGTAAAAATTTAAATGAGTCATGGCAAAATACTTTTTATCTTTTAATAGTGCTTAGAATGTACTTTAGCACTTGAATTTCACTGATGAAAAGATTGTGTCAAAGGTGATGTCGCGAGGAGGCAGTACAGAGGAGGCGGAAGATGATTCAGAGGGTGATGGTGAGGGGGAAGGAGAGGGGGACGAGCCGCCCTACAGGTCGCTGTCTCCGTGCGGACTGCGACGTTATGGCACAGTGAGCAGCCTGGAGCGACTAGATGCTGATGACTCGGACGGCGACGAGACTGGCAAAGAGCAAGAAGACCTTCCAGCAGGTCATATAACTCATATTTAACTCTGTGTATTATGTCACAATAAACATTATATTCTTGAATTTATGGTTTTTTTGTAGATAGCTAAACACGAGCACAATCAATTAGGAGATCAATAGTTATGGTGTAAGATTTGTGAGTTCATACTATAGCTAAGTTTGGATATTGTTTTTTAAATTTCAACTGCCCTTCGCCAGAGACGTCAATAAGACACTGATTATGGTGTGTGGTTGCTCACAGGGCAATCCAGAGTGGTCCCAATGATAAGATGATAAATGATAAAGCCTTGCTTATCAGCCCTAGACATTACCACAGAGCTACTGGACTCGGTATGTTATCTATATTTAAAATAGAGGTTGTAAGGGTTTTTGACATTGTTGAGTCCTAAATTATAAACTAAAGATACCAGATATTGTAAATGCTCTTGGGTATCAATTCTTTAGGTATTCCATTTTTTGTTTACCCAGTGATTAAAAATTTGTCCAAACAAAAGTCTGAAGACATCTAAAAATTTTTGCTTTTCTGTTCCTGGTAAATAGTTGTACTTCCATATCACAAAAACTGTATAAAATATCAAGAAGACCATGAGAGCTTTCATTACACGGTTCCGGCAACGACAGAGTACCGTGCTGTTTGCAGTCATCCCCTGCCACTGAACTGGACGGTTATCGCTGTGCGTCAGTGGGGCATGTGAGAGCTTGCATACTGCACAGCTTGAAAGCCTGTCAGTCCTTGTCAATATGACGCTTATGCGTATTGTGACTGATGTGTCAGTTCAACGTTTTCAGTGTCTTTCATTATATTTTGATATCGTCAGCTGTGTTTATTGCACAGTATTAATAAACTTAATTAAATCCAAACCAATGTTATGAATAATACTTTGGATTCTTCTAAATATAGGATTGTAAAAGGAATGTCTGGGGAAATCAACTAATTTTGAAACAATCCAAATTCTTCTTGCCTTTGGTTTATTGGATGCACTCCAATAAACGGTTTTTAAGATGTCACTGAAATTGCCATAATTACGAAAGTGGATTACAATGGTTTATTTGTTATTGACAAACTGAATATTGCAAACACATTTATATTTTCCTACATCAGGAATTGTAGTGTTATAGAAACATGGACACAGCGTAAAATCGTTATGTTTTTAACCGGGTGGCAAAAACTGAATGATGTGAAAGAATCGTGTTCTATAGTTCGGCCGCTTAGAAAACGACCTGCGCGCTAATGCTAAACCAATGCTGGAGGAGGTCGCTTTCTAAGCGGCCGAACTATAGTGACAGAAATTCATCATGATGTGGAGAACTCTAACATGTCTTAGAAAAACTTCAATTTTATGTTACAATCGAAACCATTGCCAGTAAGATTGATTTACATAACGTTAGCTAATTTATGAAATCCAAGCAACTCCATTGAAGAAAAAAATATGCCTAATTTAGTTTCATTTAGAATCAAGTTCCAAATAAATGTGACATTATTTATTTACTAGTGGGAAAACAAGGAGAATTTGTATTTTTCATAATAATTTAAGATTATAATAACAATTTAAGACAACAGAGAAAAAACCACTACAAGGTTATCACTTACTCACTCAACTCATCTTTGTGGGAGCAGAAATATTGACTTTTTTTAAGATTGCAAAGGATCAAAAATGTATTGCTAATGGAACCATTGAAACAAATGTCAATATAGTAAGTTATATTGAGGACTAACCTATGGTGGTTTCCATACTATATAAATGTTTGAAATGATACAGCACATTGGTTTACTTTCCTCCAGTCAGGAAAATATTCCTTACTATAAACTTTAAAAACACCATTTCTATAAACTTTACCAAACCATACTCAAGGAATGTGAATATCTGCTGCTTTAGTGCCTACATCAGGATTCAACTGACTAATTGGTTCTGAAAAACTTGTGTATGTAGACCCCTTCTATGTCTGTTCAAATAACTCGATTCTAGATGTTGTACTTATTCTTTAGTACCACCAGTATTCTAAATATTGCCATTAGAATCTCATCTACTTTTATTGCATTGGTCCCTGTTTGACTTAGCAATTGTCACCATAGAAATTGTGTACCACAAACTTGACCTTATGCTTTGCTGTACTTGTTGTCTCTGTATCGGCTATTGAAGACCTAATAATTTGTACTATTCTAACGCTTATGTAGAATGTGGCATAACCAATTGTAAATGGCACACTGTCTACAAGACAATTTCCTAAATTAATAAGATGTTCAAACGATAAATTTAGCAGAAATCAAGAAGAAGTGGTTACATTTGTTATTATCTTTCGAAGCCTTTGTGTAACACTCCTAGTTGATAGTCCCTCTCCTGTAGTGTAGTGTAGACGTGTAGTAGACCTTGTGTGTTTAGATGGAGTGGTGGGGGGACAACTAGAATCTGTCAGTCAGTCTCTACGAGGCTGGACAATACGAGCTGGATACTTTGTCGCAGAGAAGATGGCGCTATTTGAGAGACTCGGAGAGGATTCTCGAGCTACTTCATTTTTCGATAGGTATTTCTCAATTTTACACGTTAAACATTCTGATCTATTCTTTTGAATGAACATGGTAATATATAAAAATAAGTGTATAAATATACACATTATTTTTGATTTTAAGTATAAAAATAGCCTATGTAAAAAGCATTCTGACAGAGCTAAATTGAAAGGCAATAATATTGAAGCCCTGCCTCACTTGACTTATACAGAAAAACCAATTCCATAGATTCAGCAGTGAGCATTATAGGTATACTCATTGACTGCAAGCTCCAGCCAAACAAGCCCTATTGGATATGTCTATGTGTGTACGTTTTGTAGCCTATCTGTCTCTGTTTTGAACTTCCAATAATGAAATAGCAATTAGAGTTAGTTATAAGACATATTGATCCAACTTTTGTTCTGATTTATTTTCCAGATATCTTCGGTCTCTGCCAGACCAAGATGTGTTTTCTCACGAGTTGGCAGCAACATCAACGGCTCTGGCGGGGGAAGACGAGTGTGAAACTTCAGGTGGAACCTCAGGAGAAGACATCTGGGGAACTCCTACCAGCGGAGACTCAGAACTCACATCACCTACGCTCGAGGTAACCAACAGTTATTGTCAAACTCTCAACTCTTTAATCAATATCATGGTGATCATATTAAGCTGGGTTACTTCTGATTATAGCTGGATTAGCTGGATAGATGTGTGTAGTGTTCACTAGTAACCGGGAGGTCATCAGTTTGATCAAAATCAGGGCCAGCGAGAGCCGTTATGGTCCCCTGGGCTGAGTGATCCCGGGCCCCTTATTTTCCTGATTTAGTCGAGCTGCCTCCGAGTCGTTTTGTTACACAAAATAATAATACATTTCTTAAATGCTTAATAGTTTGATTAATTCAAGTGACCACAGTTGCAACTATATTGAAGTCAAAAATTAAACACATCAAGACTTGAATTACACAATTCAAGTCAAAAATGAAAAATGACGTAGTGAACTGGAAAAATATTCTAAAATTTTTGACTTTAGCATATATGTGCAGAAAAAATGTTACATTTGACCTGGTCTCTTCGAAGGCCTGGGCCCTGGGGCTTTGCCTCCCCCCTGCCCCACCCTCTAGCCGGCTCTAATCATGATGAAAGTCAGAAGCTGTTTCGTGGTTAAAAACTAGACCCAGTTATCCTTCATCATTGGACTTTTAATAAAAACTAGGGGCCCATAGCAGACTTGCATTTTTAGTCGTTTGATCTGTGGTAGAAGATAAAAACACTTTAACATACAAACGGATTATATTTACTGTAGCAAGTAGCTACTTGCATTATAAAATGCCAGGATCTTTGATGGCCAGTGGGAAAGAGCAGAGGTAATTTTTTACACCTTTTTCCCACCGTCCTTGGACTTAAAGCTTTAAAATGAATCCTCAACAGCCATGCTACCGTTTTCTTAGCTCGAAATATTTAGTGGGGACCGATTCGCTTACGGAATTAAATATAGATAGATAGTCCCGACTAAAGAACCAGCTGATCTTAGACAATAACAAAGATGTCATATCATTCATTCAAAAACTATCTTTGGTGTGTTGGTGTTGTACAAATGTAAATATAATCTTCAAGAACGTGGTATGGTTTATTTTATCCAAATAACTTGATGAGCTTTAGAACATAGCAAACCTTAAATAGGATCAAACTTCAGTTAATCATGAGTTGACTAAAAATTAACTACCAAACTAAAAACTCACAATACTGAACTTACTTTTTACTCACATAACATGATCAGACTCAAGACCATATACTTAGAGCCAGATTTGATTGTTTCAAAGTAGTAAAAAATGAATGTTTAGTTTTGTATGTTTGCAAAACATACAACCAAACAGCTTAGCATAGCATTGTTCACTTATAATCTCTAATTAATAAATAATCATTTTATTGGTTGTAGAACACCAGTAGTGAGTTAAATAAGTCATAGAAGACTACTCGTTTACCCACCCTTGTAAACTAATGCTTGTCATTTTAGCAATGTCCTGACTGTCCTGGCCTTGGCACAGCCGCAGACGATGCTAGGGAGGCTCTCATGATGGACGAGCTGCTTGGCAGTGTCACTCTCATTCCTCTGATGTCGTCAGTGGTGCGACGCGAGGGCTTCCCACAGCGCAGACGGCTTGAGCCGCTGCCTGAAGACGAAGAGGACACGACAGAGAGCTCTTCCTCACCTGATGTCAGCGAATGTACCAAAAGCTACAGCACTGACCAGGTTAGTGGTGCTAGCTTAGTATCTCAATGATTAACATATGGAAATCATGTGATAGAACACTCATATTGGGTGGGTCAGACTGTGATAATAAGGCAACAATGTCTTGGGTTCTCATCCAGATACCACTGAAAATTTACCAGTACATTTTATTCTTACTGTACCTGCTCACCTTACTTTGCTTGTTTCATTCCTTGCACATTGGGACCAAGGCCCATGTAGAGAGGCAATATCAAGCCCGCCAACCTCTTAAAAACATATATGATCACAATCCAACATCGATAACTGTAAATATAAATGTTTTCGTCTGGCATGGTTGGTTTACTGTTGTGTTGCTGTGGGCAGGGCAACCGGTCTGATAGCTGTGTGACGAGAGTCCGTGCCTCAACTTCGCCCTCCAGCCCTGGGTTCTTCACGAGACTGCGACTCAGACGATCCCATTCGGCTGAGTCACGCACCAACAAGGGTAGTAAAATGTAAGTTTTTTTTTCCTAGGTTGAAAATTTAAAACTTTGTAATAATGTATAACTGCTAAGAATTTGTGCTCTTTGCTACTACTCTTATGCAACTATACCATGATTGAGGGTCTACAGAGCCACTTTATAATGTTTTCCTCTCTTTTTCTTTGTTATTCCACTCCTGTTGCAATCACATATTTCTTAATTTTATAGTTGCATCTTTTTTATATGTTTCCTTAAGGTTTCTTCCAATAACTGCAGTTCCTCTAGTCCTCATAAGACTAGTTCTCCCTAATTGTTTTATCAGTATCCATTCCCAGTGATTTTTCACAAGAGACCAACAAATGATTTCAACGGGAAATGGTCCCAACTACAATTTTTTTTGCAAATACCAAGAATTACATTTTACTATCATATTAAGCCTGAGTGAGATGCTCGTATCACACCCATATTCAAGTATTTTAATAAACTATGTGTTCTTTCTCTCTAATTATGTCCTAAAAATTCGAGTATAGGGGGGTAGGAATTATGTCAATTATTTTTTATTTTATTTTATTTATTTATTGCTCTTTACAATTTTTACATTGTGTAGCATTTTTACATTGTGTGATTCTATTATTTATAATTACATAGGGGTTATTTTATAAAATTACACTTTATATTAAATTTAACTTTAAACAAATTAATCAATACATTAAGAAATGGAGGAAAACTAAAAAAAACATTATACATTTATCAAGAAAACCTTAAAATATTTAACTCATAACCCCTGGGGAATATAATACTGTGGCCCTTAACTCCAACGGTGTGCAGTGAACTCATCCACCGAATAGAATGCCTGATTTATTAAGTCACGCTTCAGTTTCGTTTTGAATAGAAGGGAACTTTCCAGACTTTTAAGCCTTTCAGGAAGACAGTTGAGGAGTCTGACACCTACTTGAGAAGGAAGTTTCTCAAATGCAGCTGTTCGGTGTTGGACAGTGCGAAAACTTTCCCTTGCTCTAGTCCCGTGGCTGTGCACAGCAGTGCCTTGGATAGGCTTATGTTGAAACCGGCAGTATACAGCCGTTTCCAACATATACAGGGAAGGTAGGGTCAAAATTCCAAGCTCCCTGAATGCTTGTCTACACGACTCTCTCCGCCTCAGATTTGCAATTAATCTGATGGCTCTTTTTTGAAGCCTAAATGCCCTGTTAAAATTTTGTCTGGCACAACCCCCCCACAATCTTAATCCGTAGGAAAGATGGGGATGAATGAGGCCATAATAGGCCATGACCAAAACTTGTGTTGAACATAAAGGCTTGAGATTACGCAAGGCAAAAACCCCTTTTGCAATTTTTGGACAGATGCAATTTAAGATGGGGACGCCACTATGTGTATGTTAACCCAAATATGAGTGAAGAATGAGTGTATAATTTAACAATTACCATTCTATTGAGCAATTCTACCAGTTGCCTAAAATAGCACACACCATTATGGTCTATAGTCTGTGCTAATAGTAAGAAATAGTATATTTCATTACTAGGACCGAAAGTGACATTTTCCGTCGCGCGCTCAAGTTTTTGTGTGAGGCGAAGCCGAACACAAGGAACATCAATTTCACGTGCGAGGCGAAGCCGAGTATGTGAGAGCTATTTTCACGTACGAGGCGAAGCCGAGGACGGGAATAATGGAGCAAGTGCCGGGTAATAACTTTCGGTATGAGTTATGAACGATACTTTTCATCACGACGCAAAAATACACAAACACAGAATAGCAGACCTCAGTAATATTACAACTATTTTATTTCTCAATTAATTTGATTGAACATAAAAAAATGAAATAACATTTTCTAAAAGGAAACCTACCTATATTTCTCAATACATTTTGTTTAAATATCCAAATAAAAGAATAAAACAACTTTGAACAATACATACAGCTGATTCAAATCATTAAATTAAACCATAACAAAACACCAGCGCGCGTAGTGAATAAATAGATAACTAATTGAGAGCGAGGGAAAGTAAATTTAGAGCGAGGGAAAATCAGCTGATCGATTTTCCCTCGCCCTAAATTAGAGCTTGGGAAACGACTACTTTCATTGATGTCAGCTGTTATCGAAAGTAGTTACTTTCGTTACCGAGTGATGAAAAAGCCTTATATCATGTTGTTAGGTTTAATAACTCTATGTATTCTCACCATATGTACATCCTCAGTTGTTTGTAGTTTTTAAATGGAAATGTCCACCTTTTTCGACCTCAGTTCAGTCACATGTAATATGTACCTACTCTCTGAAAGAGGAACAATGATCAGTAAACAAAATACAGGACAAACTTCTTGTAAGACATTTTTATAATAGCATATAAGGTTCTTCTATGCACACCTGAATCCCAATAGGATCCTGGAGCAAGACTATGCACTGAGTGTCTTTGAGAAACGTCTACTGATAGAACAAACACCCTATAGTATAAAGAATATTCATTATATGTAGCAAAGCAGGTCGAAACAGGCAGTTCTTTTGGAATTTTAATTACAATTTTGAATTTGGTTTTATTTCTATTTAATATCAGTTTTGTGCCCGTACTGTATAGACTTACTCTGTGCATAAAGATGATTTGATTTAATAACGAATATTTGTTTTGGCTATGGGATAATCACTGCTCATTTCTAACATCCAAACAGTTGTATTCCATTGTATTCCATCTTCCATGTTTCTAGAGATGTATTTTTGTTTGCAGATTACAGTTTCTTCGTAGTACCAAAAGTGAGGACAACACACCTAGTACATCTTCAGGGAGTCGACTGATGCGATTATTTAGTAAGGACTCTACTGATGACATTCCCACGACTATTCCTGCACCGTTAGTGCCGCCTAAGCAAAATGTATGGGCTAAGACTATTTCAAAACATTATCGTTGAGTAAGAAAGTTGCATCCAGCATAGGTTGATATCCACATCAAGGTCTTTTGTTAGTAAAATACACTGACTAACTCAAACGCACAACCGGATAAAAAAATGACAGTTGTTAGATTTCATTGAATTTGCAATGATATTATACACTACCTCCACAGGGGCGCCCCTCTAGAGGTAGGAAGAAAATCCAAACGTAAGAATATTTACATAAAATAAAAGGTTCTTATTAGTAGGATACAATGTCCCAAATTTGAACTAAAAAGAACAACTGAGTATAAAAAAGGCATCCGTTTGAAAATTAAAAATGGCAGATTCAAGAAATCTTTGAAGAGCTCCCATTTTTGACTTTATTTCAGTTCAATTGTATAAGTTGTATAAGTTCATTGTATTTTACAATAAACAAAGACCTTTAATTTGATGTACATTATAAATATATGCACCAAGTTTTGTATTTCTGTCTTAATTAATTGTCCCGGGACTTTTTTCCAAGCATGTATAAACAAAAATTATATACAATTTGGTTCAATATATGGATTTTCTCTATTTATTTATTTATATCTATTTATATCTATTTATTTTCTCTTTTTCACTTGTCGTGGCGATTTTACTTAAAGATTGAAGTGTAATTTTAAAGCTTATGATTTAGTACTACATGGGTGAATAGTAAATAAATAGTTGTGTAACTAGTGTGCGAAGTGGCACTTTGCTGCAGATGAGAGAAATATTTAGGCACGAGTTGCAGGCGAATGTGGAAAGTTTCTCGAGTCCAGCAAAGGCAATGTAGCAAGCTACTTTACGTGCTATAATCAGTACATGAAAGCCCACTTTGTTAGGTAATCGTAGGAAAAATTATTTTTTGTCACTGCAGCAAAAATAGCCGTTTTTAATACATGCGTCTAAGTAGCATCTTTTACTCTCTAAAAAGTGTAAAAAGCGTTTTTAAACGCTAGGGAGTAAAATCAGCTGTTGTTAATGTCAACTCGTCCAAAAACATCTGAATATATTTTTTTACCACGTCGACTGCGCTCCCAGGTGGCGCGCGCCGACTAAAGTCGGCACCAGACCAACAGAAATATATTGAGTCAGTGTGAGCTTAGCCTCAGACGGAGACGTTATAATCGTTGCCAGCCTGACAGCTTAGAATGCGAGTTTTACTTTGGTGTAGGTTGGTACTAAAATTTCCCGTAAAATCCTGTCTGGCAATGCTTTTGTCCCGGTTTCGGGGATTTTTTCTCTTCAACCCACATTACAAAGACACTGGATACGGATCCATGCAGTGCTGCTACCTTTGGGGGTTTCAGTGAACTACATCCACTCTCGGGGTAACGCAGCACAGTCACCACTGCTCTTTTGTGATTCGTCAGACTGAAATATTTGAATGCCAATTGCGTTCGCTGATTCGGTTGCGCGCCGGGGCTTCGCCCGCCACTGGGGAGCGCCTGTAAAGTCGGCGCGCGCAGTCAACGTGTTAAATAGTTTTGCATTCAAAATCAGATTAGGAATAGAATTTTTTTAACACCCTTAATAATTTATACTTTCAATTGTAAATATGCATGAAAATAGTACTGTATTGTAAATAGATATAACACCAGGTTACATTACCTTTGATTTTGATTACAGGAAAAAACCCTGGAAAGAAGATTCTGGAAGCAGATAAGAAGAAGACGTACCACTCATTCAGAAAGTTTATCTCCTAAGTCAGCTTCCCTACCGGCATCATAGCAAAAATAACAATATTTCTACCATAATGTGTTTCAAATCCTAGTGGTTATTTAATTGTATATAGAAGATGAACATTTTTATTGTTACTTGGGGAAAAAAGGGAAGTTTTACTACAATCCAGTAGGCCTATTGTTATTGTTATCTTTTTATAAAAGGGTTGATCCTAAATAGTAAAAACACCACATAACAGGCTTGTATGAAAATTGCAGGCTTGGTGTATTGCAAGTTTATGTATATAATTCAATCAGCAATTTTTATATTTCATCGGTTTGCCAACACCTGAAATACACAGCATACAAATTTATAGAAGATGTGTTAAATCTGAATCATATAATCTACTTACTAGTTTGATATAAAGTTTCTGTTATCATTGTATATTTATTTCAGTGTATAAAACAACAATGGGTCAAGAAAATCCTGTTTTATCTCTCATTAATGTTTTTGTTCAATCCTGAGTGTTAGGTATATTTAACTATTACTGTATATTTAAATTTTTATTTAGATATTATTGCTATATTTTGCTACAGTTAATTCATAAAATAGGGTTGGTTTTTCTCTAAACTAAGAATAAAAAGTAAAACCCCCGCTGCAGCAAACCTGCAGACTAAGCGAATTTCCATTTACCTGTTTGGATTTACAATAAAATGTAGGTATCCTTAAAAATATCACATATATTCCCAATTTAAATTGAATTAGTTTAAGGAGTAGGGACTTAAGTTTGCTGCAACAGGAAGGGTAAAAACGTTTTAATTTTGTAAACTGTTAATAGTTATAGTAAGAAATAAATACTATTTAGTAAGAAAAAATCTTCCAAATTTGATCAAAATATGTTCATAAACAAGAAAACTACAACAGTTTACTTATTCTCCATAAGAATAACATGGTAATTTTATTTTCCATTTTTTGGAATTTTCTCCGCAACCATTAGGCACAATGCTTCTGTTTACCAAATTATTTGCTTTTTTAAGCTCTACAAAATGGTTTGAAAGAAACTGCAAAATTTTATGTTTTTGGGTCAGAAATAGGAAAAACCAATTTTTACCCCATAAACATTTTCAATAGTTTCCATAGTCCGATCATGCTGGTTCGCGAACTCGTTCGAATAAATGTAGGTTTACACTTTTATGCCAAATTTCATCAAAATCTGATAATTTTTGCTTGAGTTATCATGCTAACGAACACATATATGTATTTAAATGAATTTGAACGGATGGAATTTTTTACCTCTAGGGACCTCAAAACGAAAAAGTAAATCGGTCCTGGGTCCAGATCTTACCATGAGTCTTATTCCCTACCTATATGGGAAATTTGCTAAAACATACTTCAGAGCTGAAAATGCAGTTTTATCCCACTCATGGTCTAAAAATGCTTCAATTGTAGGGGGAAATGACCTTACAACAATCTTTGCATTCCTTAAAATATAAAAATAATTATTTTTAAAAATGAATTTGTGTGCTTGTAAAATTGCAGTTACTCTACGTAATCTGTTGAATACTTTGACTCCTTTGTATATCTTTTATAAACTGTGCCATCTGACAAATTTGTCATATAGTTTGAAAGTTCTGTTTCTGCTATTTCATTGTTAAAACCTTCTACATAGTTTATTAGCTAGCCTTGTTGATAAAATGTAGTATATTGACTGTTCAAATTCTTTGATTCTCAGTGTTAATGATAACAGCATCATAATGTCAGTGCTAATATGTCTGTTATGTTTTCATTAGTTCAATCAATTTTAGTTAGTTTTCGGTCCCAGTATAATGTTTCAGAATTTAAAAGTGTTTATTACTATGCCAGTTAAGTAATTTTGATTTTGTTTGAATGATACTGAGGTGTTTTTATCAAGCATTTAGATAAAGCAGGTATATTATGGTATAGAATATTCAAAATGAAGTATTACCACACACTAGACAGGTCGATAATTTTAGCATAGAGGACTTGATAATCATGTGAGCATTTTTAGTATATTCTGTATGGCACTAATGTACGGTAAAAGCATCAATTAGGGAAAGCCTTAACTTGTATTTTTAACTCTCAATTGTTCTTTTATCTAATTTTATACTTTCAGAATCTAAAGATGCATATATGTAGGCTATATCTCTAATGGTTGTGCAAAGAGTTCTCAACTTGAAGAAATAATTTTATTCCTATACATAGTTAGGGTGCATTTAAATATATTTTGATAAGCTTAAATTTCCATTAAGAATTTGTACCTGGTTACAGATAATTTTCTAGATAGCACTGTGAACTGTACAAAGCCTTGCTCTAGTTATTAGAACTGTTTTAGTTGTACAAAGTTTATTGAAATAAATTTACTTAAAATTTGTTTCATTTGTTCCAATAATTTTGGATTGCAAAATATTTGATCTTATCTTACTTAAGTACCAGGGGACCGAGCCATAGCTCAGTATAGTTTTTTTCCTCCGCATGGAGTATTGCAAATGGCCTGCGTAAAAAGACAGTTGATTTTTGGGCGAGGTGGCGAGGACAGTCCTGATGAAATAAACAACTATTTTATCAATGTTGTATCACAGGTAGTAAGATGAAGTATGCCACAAACGGAAGCCGCAATCACTAATATAGCTGGCCTAAATGTCAGACTACCATGCACTCAACTTGTGATGGGGTCCCTGAGATATCAGTTATTGTGGATGGAGCGTGGTGCAAACGTTCATACAAGACGAACTACAATGCATTGTCAGGCGTAGTAAGTTATATACCATTTTTATATTTAACGATATTTACTCATAGTAGAAACAAGTAGCAAATGCACAATGTGAAAATGGGCTAAAAATAAAGTTGTACAAAGTTCTCATAGCTTTAGAATGGATCAGGATTTTTGAACGGATTGCAGCATCGTATTCAGCGTGAAAATCAAGCTTGAAATGATGGGTCACATTCCTATACCTTTACATTTGAAAAAAATTGTATCCAATATGGCGGATACAAGATGGCGGCCAAAAATGTTTACATAAAGAAAAAGAAGTAATTACTACTACACAATGATCTGACGTGGTCCGGAGTTGATATCTTAAGAAATGTAGAAAAAAGTAGAGGGGATAACTCATTTAAAACTCAGCCTGTATATGATAATTTTGAGTACAAATTAATTTTATAAAACACAATGCTTTTATTTTTTTGAATTTGTAAGATGAAGCCTTCAACATCATAGTAAAGTGTCAGTATGTTTGTCTGGAAAAAAATTACTGTTTATTACATTTTAGACAGTCCGGTTTTTTCTAACATAGGCTTTCCGCTTACTTATTCTTACATTGTCAGCCGCTCTATAATTTGTATTTTATTACTATATAAGCTAACTTTCACTTTCAATTTTTCAGATATGGACTGGAACATGAAAGGATCGCTGTTGATAATCTTCAGGAATATCTTTGTATCCAGGTGGATCAGTGTGGCCTGTTTATTGACGAACAGTTTCCGTTCCTTGCTGCTAGTCCCGATGGCATCTTTGACAACAAGGCTCTTGTTGAGGTCAAGTGTCCTGCCAAAGCCAGCAAAATGACACCTGAAGATGCGGTCAGAAGCAAAGTAATAAAATTCTGTACAATAACGGAGGACGGAAGCCTGACGCTCAAAAGAGGACATGACTATTTTTACCAGGTCCAGGGCCAATTGCGCGTAGCTAAAAAGACATACTGTCTATTTGTGGTTTGGACTCCATCGGGAATTTCTGTTGAAAGAATAAACAGAGACGATACATTTTGGAAAGAAAGTATGGAAGACAAGTTGGTTTCGTTTTACGAAAAGTGTCTGCTACCTGAAATTGTCGACCCAAGGCATCCCAGAGGGCAGAGGCTTGCCAATCCTCGATCGTGTTTTGTAAATATTCAAATATGTTTTTTGTTTACATACTTATTAAAGTTCAACAAATTATTCGTTTGTTATTATACAAAGTTTATTCCATCAACCTTTTTCGTCTTCAATGTTACCTAATTATTAAATAAATTAATAACAGTTAGCAAATAACTATCAAGGTAGCATTAAGATTTGTTTTTTTTTCTTAAATATCAAGTACCATATTATAAGTCTACAGAATTATATTTCATTCAACAAATTGTGATAACTTCCCATGATAAATAAAGCATATCACTCCCACACTCCCAAGTTTTGGAATAGTGTAGTGTGTGGACACCGGACAGTGGAGTGGATAGTAGCAGAGCAGCAGAGCAGTCGTAGAACCGCGGGCGCGATCGATACTCCCCCCCCCCCCCAGAGACCCGCGTGCGCCCCTCCATATCCCCACCACCACCCAGGTGTAGCGCTAGCGCAGCTACTGGCAACCGGCTGAACTGCGTTGCGATTTTACTCCATCAGTAGACCGGATCCTTAAAGAAAATAAACGATCTCGTAGAGGTTTTTCTTCCAGAGGAAATCCTATCTTTCTACAGTGCGTTGTTTCGGATTTTTATCCGATTTTAATTAAATATAATGTTTGTTTTCTCGTGCACCTTTTCCTACTCTGTGGATGGGTAAATGAAACAAACTACCATATACTTGCGACTTGAAATTGAAATTAGTACCCGTATAAAATATTTGAAGACCGTGTATGAAATCCATGCTGCGTTACAAACATGGTAATATTTATGAACACAAAGATATCTTGGATAAATTATGTACTTTCCTACCAGATTGTCGTGCGGTTGAGCGGAGGCAATTTTAATGTATGTTTCTGTTCGCAGTAATCGCAGTGTCTGGGTTGTGTATAGTTCGTGTAGACTATTAAACCAGGAAATATTAGACCTTAAATAATATGGGGTTTAAACCATGCTTCTCAATCATTATTAGAAGCGTAACTTATGTTAAATTAACCCAAAATTTGCAGAAAACGTTTGCCCGACATCAGTAGGTACACTTGAACAGACTGAAACATGCATCAAAACACACATACAATTAGGTTTATAATTAATTTATAATAGGTTCAGAAGTCACCAGTATCTGCACCCTACTATAATTATTGTTTTCACCATCAATGAGGCGTAGACATATAATCGTATATCACACCAAGACAACGTACATCTCTTTGTAATCATTGTTTGAAAAGCAACATTGCTTAGCAACGAAAATCATTTCGAGATTCGTTCACTCAAGAGTTTTACTGGCTTTTAACTCATGGAATGGCTCTGGATTTAACTCCCGCGGATGCAGCTGCAGGTGGAATTATTAACCTTAGCCCCAGACAGACAGACGTACTATGATGACGTCATCTCATTAGTGGCCCACATGTGGTCTCCGGATGTTCCAGAGTTTAGGACAATGAACGAGACATGAACTTCCATCAAACGTGGTAAGTTCTTTGAATGTAATTAGACACGGTCACGGTGTTGTATGGTCATCAGGAGATCACAACCATGTAATTTAGACTCAGACAACCGCTATGTCGGTAATTTAAATGCTAATCGATATTTGAAACTCTCGGTCATGTTTATTCAATTATTCTAAGAAATATAATTAACGATTGTCCACACCTCGATTGTTTAACGTAAGCAAACCGAATGGGTTTAGTATTGTTTACTTGACGATTAAGGCGGGGACACACTTGTCATACACCCTTCCGATCCGACTCCGATCATACTGTGGTACGACTCGGAAAGAGGAATGGTACTTAACTTTGAACGCGATTGTTTACACCTCTCCGACACGCGTCACGTCATACTCCGATCCTACTCCGATTTTGGCTCCGATCACGCACTGACACTGCAGTCTATTCGTTTGTCGGATGCAGGATGGGTTGTTTCTTAAAAATCACTTTTATTCTTAAGATTTGAGAATAATGGTTTAAGATAAATATATGCCGATGCTTGATGTGAAATCTGTGCGTGCATACCTTCAATTTGAGACCTCGATCATGAAAATCGGACGGGTAGAAGAGCCAATCGAACTCGAGAGAGAAAACCCAATGTGCTTAATATATAAGATGGCCAGGCCCGTTTTTGACCCTGTCAGCGCCCTAGGCACATCTAATAGTAGCGCCCCTTTGCAATATATATATAACAGGGTGTCCACCGACCGGGAAATCCGGGAATCATGCGGGGGATTTTTGAACCATGAATTTTGTATTTATACCTAGAGTTTTCAATTCACCGTGATCGCGCATGACCAAAGTGATGTTTCCGTGATCGCGGGAGACGATAATATGTCTACACACGGCCGCGAGGGATGATAAGAATTTTCCGCGATTGCAGAAGACGATGATGGTATCTACAGAGCCGCAACGGATAATTAGAGTATTGCCGCGATTACAGAAGACGATGATAATGTCCACACGACCGCGGGAAACAGCAAGAATTTTGCCGCGATCGTAGAAGACGATGATGATCTCCACACGACTGGAGGACATTTAACATTTTCCCGCAATCGCGGGAGACGATTACGATGTCTTCACAACTGCGGGAAACGATTACGATGTCTACAGAACCGCGGAATACAATAATGATTTCTACGCGGCCACGAGGGATGATCACAATAATGCCGCGATCGCTCAAGACGATGATAATGTCCACATGACCGCGGGAAAAGATGAGAATTTTGCCTCATTCGCCGAAGACGATTATATCCATATGTCCGCGGGAGATGATTACCATTTTGCCGCAATCACGGGAGGTGATCACTACATGTCCAAACGACCAACGGGGACGATATAATGATGTCTTCACGGCCGCGAGGGGTGATCAGAATTTTATCGCAATCGCGCAAGACGATGATTATGGCCACACGATCGCGGGAAAAGGTCAAAATGTTGCCTAATTTGCGTAAGAGGATGATGACCTCCACAAGACTGAGGGAGATGATTACCGTTTTTCTACAATCGCGGGAGGTGATTACTATGTCCACACGACCGTGGGGCACGATATGATGTCTTCACGACCGCGAGGGGTGGTCAGAATTTGACCGCAATAGCATGCAAATACTACCACGATTTTTTTTTAATTTCCAAATTTTTGGCGCCCCCAAAAAAAGCCAATTGCCTCGCGCCCTAGGCACGTGCCTACCGTGCCTATTCGGTAAATCGGCCCTGAAGATGGCACTTAAGTAAACCACCTAACTTTCTTTCCATACAGAATGAACCCAAATTCTTCGTTTTCCACTGCCCTTCAGAGATGTCTGACTTTCTTCCTCTTCATCTAGACAAACCACCATCATGGCTGAATCCTGTAGTCCAAAGTTTTTGAACATGTTTACCACCTTCTGCACGTAGTTTACAAATCAGATTGGCAAGTGTTGATCGACCGGTGGAGGAAATCGGGCATGGGTCGGAAGCGTGTATGACATGTGT